TGGGTTTTGTTAGCTGTAAGCCATAATCATCAAAATTAAAAGAAATAAAGGCTTGAAATATTTCACTCTGTGTGTAATGAATCTATATGATATATGAGTTTCACTTTTTAAATCGAATTACTGAAATAAATTAACTTTGCCATGATATTCTAATTTATTGAGATGCACCTGTACATGAAGTGGACAATGTAACCAGGGTGCAGATGCATGTTGAAGGCTCAGAGCGAAGTGCTCACAGTGATAAAGGGGGACAGTGAGAGTGCTGTGTAGTGAGCAGAGGGTTGTCAGCTCTTCAACAGCATGCCCAAACCACACTGGTGATGTGAGCATTAACAAGCATGCTGATTGGTTAAAGAAATCCCATAAAGCAAAAGGTGAGTGGGAAGGCATCACACAGGCCTTACACTGATATTTGTTTCTAGATATGATTTATGATCTTTGTACTGTATTTCATTTCAACCCTCAACCTGGACAGACCATTGAGAAGTGGAGGTGACTGGGTTAAATAAGCGGGCTCTAGTTCAAATGGCTGCTAGGTAAAACAGAACTGGAAGGAGGTGGGAATGGGAGGAAACATTAGTAAAACACAAGAGGAATGAAAACTAACTTGGAGTGTTCGGGCAACTGAGGGCACTGGAACCTGTGGGGGAAAGACCAGGCAAAACAAACAGTACAGGGGTCAGTTAGGAGGACAGACAAAAGAAAAGAACACAGGAAGCACTGAGAAAGGAGTATTATTTTCTTTTTTGTTGGTTGTATGTGTAAAATATCTCTCAACATTTATTGCAAACAAACAACATCTGTGTCTGTATTGGCACATCTGCTCAGTTGAAGTTGAACAAAGGTGATCTCTGACCTGCCAGACAGAGCGGTGCAGTTACTCCAATAACTATCCTTATTTGTATAGAATACCAGATACCGGAACTCTAATGTGACCATGCCTCAAGTCCAGATCAAAATATCTTGACAATTATTGGATGGATTGTCATGAAATTTAGTAAAGACATTCAAGGTCCCCAGACGATGAAGCCTAATAACTATGGTGATCCTCTGATTGTTATACTATCATTAAGTCAGAATTTAAATTTGTACAATACTTCAGTCTAAGACCAAATTATTGCAAACCTAATGACATCCCCATCAGCCTCAGCTGTACTGCATATTAGAATGGAGATGATGAACATGGTAGAATTACTTGTTGCATGCATGTTAGCATGACAACCACTACCATTTGTACATGTTCTTCACCCCGTCTGATAAGGGTCGAAAACAAGCTGTGTAGCAAGATACTAACTTGCTTGATCATACCTGATTAATAGCATAAACTTCAAAACATAACATACAAAACATACAGGTATCTAGAATTATGGGTAATACCTTGAATTTAGACTTCTATCAGATTTTCCCTACACGATTATCATGGCCAAAATAACTCACAATATTATCATGATATCTGTTGAAATTTTGAAGAAAAGAAAATCATGTAAATCGAATTCACTATTATTACTATGTAATTAGTTGTTGTATTGGGTTATTTTACTTTTAGTTTAACACTTTCACATCAACTATCTTCAAATATTACCAAAATATATTTAACATGAGTTAAATTCACAACAGTAAAAGTTATGCATTTAAAATTCTATTTCAAGGTCCAGTATGTAGGATTTAGTGGCATTTAGCGGTATAGT